GAGGGAGAGAGATAGGTAGAGAGGGGGGGGTTGGTGGTGGCACCCCTCACTCGCTGGATCGGATCTTGCATGCATCACGGCCAGGGTTTGCGACTTCTCTCGCCCTTTCTCTTCCTTTCCCTTCTCTTCTCTTCGTCATTGCTCCCCTTGCCCGCCGATTCACCGCACATTGCAGTGTCGCGTCGATCACAGTCCCGTGGCAGCTTCGTTCTAAAGACTGCAGTTGTCTCCAAAAGCTTTTTGGCTCTTCGCACAGCCCGGGCGGCATCTTTGGCCTCTTCATTATTTTCGTCAGACAGCTGCGAAAACCTTACACGAAAAGGCTGACCAGATCCCCATCGCCACCACCACATCACACACTCGGCTTACAGCAACCGGACAAATCGAGCAGCGCGGTCCCGGCAGCCCGAATGGCGCCGCCCTCGAGGAACAATCCAACCACATGGGACCAGTACGACGGCATGCCATCGCCCACCGGCAGCGTCTCGTCGAGCCCCTTCGCAGAGGACCGGCCGCTGCTCGATGACCATGATGACGCTTACGATGGTGGCGCGCATCCCGACGGTCGAGACATCCACGGCGGCAGACGGTAAGCTGACCCTCGAACTTGCTTTTCTTTCTTTTCTCCCCTCTTCTCTGCCGTTGTCAAGCAGACGAGATGGCTAAATGGATTAATCGAGCCCTGCCGTCAGGTCCTCCGTCACCGACCGTCTCGCCGCAATGGCAGACGTGGGCGGCGTAAACAGCTTCAAGAACTTTGCCCGCAGCTGGCAGCGCGCCGCGGCCTTTCCCGAGGTCCTCCCTCGCCGCCCGAGCCTCGTCTTTGCTCCCGACCAGCAGCAGCAGCAGCAGATGGCCGGCGACGACGCCGATTTCTCGACGAGTTACGACGGCCTCGGCGCGGGCGAGTCACCGCGCATGGGGAGCCCCCTTGCCGGGTCGAGCAACAATGTCGCCGATGCGCACGGAAGAGATGGCGAGGGGAAGCCTGTCGACGAGGAGATGGGGGGAACCGGCCCTCTCCAAGGCGCTTCTGCCCAGTCCAGCATCTTTGGGACGTCTCCGTATCTGGCAACGCCATCCATCATCGGCAGCTACGGTTCGTATCGCAGCGGCGGCGGCGGCTACGGCACCATAGGCGGGCCGTCAGTGATTCGACGCCGGCCTTCGATTATCCGGACGGCGGACCGGACGGAGGAAGAAGAGGTGGTTCAGGAGGAAGAGGACGCAGCCTATGGCGAGGAGCAGCCCATCCTGGTCAAGGAGGTCAAGCAGGGCAACAAGGTCGTCCTGACAGTCGACGGCCAGAGC